GCTGCCTGCTGCTGCTGCTGCCTGCTGCTGGTGCCTGCTGCTGCTGCTGCCTGCTGCTGCTGCTGCTGCTGCTGCTGCTGCCTGCTGCTGGTGCCTGCTGCTGCTGCCTGCTGCTGCTGCCTGCTGCTGCTGCCTGCTGCTGCCTGCCTGCCTGCTGCTGCTGCCTGCTGCTGCTGCCTGCTGCTGCTGCCTGCTGCTGCTGCCTGCTGTTGGTGCCTGCTGCTGCTGCTGGTGCCTGCTGCTGCTGCCTGCTGCTGCTGCCTGCTGCTGCTGCCTGCTGCTGCCTGCCTGCTGCTGCTGCCTGCTGCTGCTGCCTGCTGCTGCTGCCTGCTGCTGCTGGTGCCTGCTGCTGCTGCCTGCTGTTGGTGCCTGCTGCTACCTGCTGCTGCCTGCTGCTGGTGCCTGCTGCTACCTGCTGCTGCCTGCTGCTACCTGCTGCTGCCTGCTGCTACCTGCTGCTGCCAGGGGGGGAGAGACGGCGAGGGATGGGGATGATGGGGGAGGGATGGGGATGCTGGGGATGCTGGGGGAGGGATGGGGATGCTGGGGGAGGGATGGGGATCCTGGGGGAGGGATGGGGATCCTGGGGGAAGGATGAATGAACAACAACACCCCGGCTTCTAGGGAACACTACAACACAAGAGAGAGAGGCATGCGGAACACATGCCCCAACAACCAGCCTAGTCCACCATCTTCACCCATGGTCCAACCTGGCAAAAAGCGGTCAGTTTACAGAACACTCCGCGCGTCTAATTCAAGTTGCTACCTTGGATTATGCATCCAGCAGGAGCACTTGTGTGGTGCTCCGAGCCTCGGTGTTTGACCACGCTTGCAAGATGGTATTTGGCAGCTGTTGGGATATGCAAATGTGGCAGTGGCAAGAGGGTGAGGAGATGTGGGTTAGTTGGCGCTTGTCCTGGCGCAGGAGGGGCTCCTGCGCCCCCCTGTGGCACTCTGAGTAGTAGAGACGGGGGGGGGGGGGGGAGGTTTAGAGCGGGAGAGGGAAAGATGGATAGAGTGAAACTGAGGTACAGGCTGGCCCAAGTTCTTTATAGCAAATATCCCAACCATTTGGGGTGGACGGTAGAGCGACGGTCTCGTTTCATGCAGGTCGGCGTTCAATCCCCGACCTTCCAAGTGGTTGGGCACTATTCCTTCCCCCTCCCCTCCCGGTCCCATCCCAAATCCATATCCTGATCCCTTCCCTGTGCTATATAGTCGTGATGGCTTGGCGCTTTCCCCCTGATAGTTCCCTCCCTGAGGAAATAAACTCCTTCCTCTCAATGTTTGACGAAGACACAAAAATAATGATGCGAATAAATACGACGAAAGACTGGAAGAAACTTCAGGATAACCTAGAGAAAATATTTGTCCAGGTGGCTACTGATGTTTAACTCGGGTAAGTGTAATGTCATAAAGCTGGAAACTAGGAATACGAGACCGGACAAAAGACATCAATCGGGAGAGGAAACGGTTCTAAATCACACTAAACATATATATATATATATATATATATATATATATATATATATATATATATATATATATATATATATATATATATATATAAAAATATAAGAATATAAGAAGTATTGTCTTAAAACTTTGAATAAAGACTCATTTAGTATGGAAGATGTCCAGAGATATCCCGTCAGCCAAGTGCCAGAGCTGAGAGGTATGAGTTACGAGGAAAGGCTAGACACGTCACATGCAAATTGTGGTTGTGATAAAAGCAGCGGTGATGGTGGTGACCTAAGAGTGGTGGTGGTGGTGGTGGTGGTAGTAATGGTGGTGGTGGTGGTGGTAGTGGTGGTAGTGGTGACTGGCTACTGCTTTACCTGGCAAGTGAAACATTGCGAGTTTAGTCCGCAGACTTCCCCGACACTCTACACACGGTCGACTCTATCATGAGATGATTTCGGGGCTTAGCGTCCCCGAGGCCCGGTCCTCGACCAGACCTCCATTCTGTTACCTCCACCCCCCAGGAAGCAGCCCGTAGCAGCTGTCTAACTCCCAGGTAGCTATTTACTGCTAGGTAAAAGAGGCATCAGGGGTGAAAAAAACATTTTGCCCATTTGTCTCCGCCTTCACCGGGGATCGAACCAGGAACCTCAGGACTACGAATCCGAAGCGCTGTCCTCCCAGCTGTCAGGCGCTACTTATGTTGGCTCAATGAACTATGAACTCTACACACGGTCGACTCCCGCCACGTGTCTCCCACCTGGGCCAGGCTCCTCACCTGGGCCAGGCTCCTCACTTGGGGCCAGGCTCCTCACCTGGGCCAGGCTCCTCACTTGGGGCCAGGCTCCTCACCTGGGCCAGGCTCCTCACCTGGGCCACGCTCCTTACCTGGGTCAGGTTCCTCACCTGGGCCAGCCTCCTCACCTGGGCCAGGCTCCTCACCTGGGCCAGGACTCATCAACCCCGTACGAAACCTCTACATCTCCCCTCAACCATATATAGCGGCGTGTTTACATATACCACAACAGCTGATGGGCCGCGAGCCACCGGCAGACAATAGCAACACGTGTCTAGAAAGGTTCGATAAGTGTTTCAGAATGAGAAAAAGATGTAAATGTTCCGTATTTTGATCCTGGCCGACAGCAGAATGTCTTATTTGGACGTCGTTGATAACTTGGTGATTTGATGAGGCAGCATGATGAGTAGGACCATCAGCAACGCCTGGGTGGCTCATACTCTTCATCACTAAGTTCACTCATGTAACGATTTTTTTTGAAAGTTGCACAACTCAATCTTATAAAATCTTATAAAATATAAGATTTATATATATAAGTTTTAAGATATACGAATATAATAATATTCTTAAAACTGAACGAATATAAGTTTTATATTCGTTCAGTTTTATAAGGTCTTTTGTTGAACAACTGAACGTGATCGTATCTGAACACGACCTTGTAAGGTCAGGTTCAGATCTGAACACTGATAAGACCTTCATGCGTGGGGGTGGAGGCTTGATAGAGTATATAAACAAATCCACAAGGGCCGTGACGAGGATTCGAACCTGCGTCCAAGAGCTCTGTATTGTGTATTGATAAAGTATATACCCTCCAAGCTGACTCTATTGAAAGACAATAGGTGAAATAGGGTCAGCAGCCTCCCTTCAAATAATCGATAGAAATTGGGGGAAAAAAATGGATACAAATTGGATAACTTCAAATTTGGGAAAGACCTGGGTAAATACTGGCTTTCAAACACGGTTGTTGATTTATAGAACAAATTACTGGGAAACATAATACAAGTGGGATCGATGGATTGTTTCAAGGCAAGGTTAGACATATATATGAATGAGTTTGGTTGATATAAATAGGAGCTGCCTCGTATGGGTCAATAGGAGCTGCCTCGTATGGGTCAATAGGATCTGCCTCGTATGGGTCAATAGGAACTGCCTCATATGGGTCAATAGGAGCTGCCTCGTATGGGTCAATAGGAGCTGCCTCGTATGGGTCAATAGGATCTGCCTCGTATGGGTCAATAGGAGCTGCCTCGTATGGGTCAATAGGATCTGCCTAGTATGGGTCAATAGGAGCTGCCTCATATGGGTCAATAGGAGCTGCCTCGTATGGGTCAATAGGAGCTGCCTCGTATGGGTCAATAGGAACTGCCTCGTATGGGCCAATAGGAGCTGCCTCGTATGGGTCAATAGGAACTGCCTCGTATGGGTCAATAGGAGCTGCCTCGTATAGGCCAATAGGCCTTCTGCAGTAACCTGAATGGTTATGATACACCAGACTGTAGTTGTACCTGTAGCAACCTTAGAGGAAACCTATTCAAAAGTCAACCATTTTTGTCAATAATTTTGTAAGCGGCAGGAACCACACTTAACTTTTCCTAGTCCTTGTACACTATCTACAAGTTCAAAATTGACCTTAAGATCCAGTAGGTTAGGCCTATGTTTAGGCCTAGTACAATTAAATTAGACTTATAATTTTACTGTTTTTTAATACATTTTAATATATAATTTAATACATATATGTAATACATTTAATGCAATACATTAATTAATAGTTATTTTTTATAATTCGGCTAGGTAAGGATAGGTTAAGTTAGATTAGATTAGATTAGGTTAGATTTGGATAGGTAATGATAGGTTAGGTTATGTTAGGGTAGATTTGGATAGGTAATGATAGGTTACCTTGAGGCTACCTTGAGGTGCTTCCGGGGCTTAGTGTCCCCGCGGCCCGGTCGTCGACCAGGCCTCCTGGTTGCTGGACTGATCAACCAGGCTGTTAGACGCGGCTGCTCGCAGCCTGACGTATGAGTCACAGCCTGGTTAGGTTAGGTTAAGGTAGACTGACTTAGGTTAGGTTAGGTTAGGTTAAGGTAGACTGACTTAGGTTAGGTTAGGTTAGGTTAAGGTAGACTGACTTAGGTTAGGTTAAGGTAGACTGACTTAGGTTAGGTTAGGTTAGGTTAAGGTAGACTGACTTAGGTCAGAACAGGTTGGGTTAAGGGGTTAAGCAGATATAGACCTCAACATGATTCTTCATGGTGCGTGGTTGTGACTGGAATAGATGGAATAAATCACCATTAACGCGATGAATCGATGAGAACATAGAACCAGTCAGGAGCAGGACGTTCGAATCCACCCCACGGCTCCCGTTGAATTTTTTTTCTCCCCGTTACAATCCGGGGAGAAAAATCTATCTGTCTAATCCGGACGCAGCCCCGTTAACGGTGACGGTGGGGCAACAGGACTTATCCCACCTCCACCGTCCACCTTTTAAACGGAATCCACAACCCGTTAAAAAAAAACATGACGGATCACTAAATCCTTAATACACCGTATTATTAACGTTTTTAAATTCATTGGCCGCGACGGGTTGCTTGGGTTAGGCACGAAACAGTTACATCTTTGACTGAGAGGCAAATATATATGACTCCAAACGTGAAAGAAACAAACAAGGAAGGAAGCAGGACTAACCTACTAACCCACACACCTGCTCATCCCCCCCCCCCAAGACACAGGTAAAATAACATACCTTGAATACGTGTGAAGGACTCAGCGTGATGCCCAACTGTTCTGTTCGGCCCCACTAAGTGTTCACTATCTCCTCTCCCACATCCTCGCTGTTCAGCCGGATATAATGAACAAGAGATGAACAGTTCACTAGGCGTAGCTGAGCAATCAGTGCACGGATATATGAGCTCTGTGATGCCTTTGAACACCGTTCATTAATGGTGATTTTTCTCCGTCAGAGTTGTATGGTGAGAAGAGTATGGTGATGACAGTGTTCGTCACTATCAAGGCTGGCGTACGACAGCTAGCCTGGCCTTACTACGCCAGGCGTTCATGAGAATATTTTATAACACGCAAAATGTGTATCACTTAAGAATGGCCGTTATCAAGCGGTTATGTTATCAGTAAGGTGAGAGTTATTACGGCGGATATATGGTGTTCTTCTGCAGGGTTGGGGGGCCGGGAGCTAGCACCTGACACAAGCCGAGCCACTGCCGCTACCACGGCACCACGAGCACTACTGACCACCACTCTCCACCACCCCTAGGTTATGTGGCGCGCCTGATGCCTCGCCTCCCTGGCCCTCCCCCCCCCCCGGCCCTGATGCCTCGCCTCCCTGGCTCTCCCCCGGCCCTGATGCCTCGCCTCCCTGGCCCTCCCCCGGCCCTGATGCCTCGCCTCCCTGGCCCTCCCCCGGCCCTGATGCCTCGCCTCCCTGGCCCTCCCCCCCCCGGCCCTGATGCCTCGCCTCCCTGGCTCTCCCCCGGCCCTGATGCCTCGCCTCCCTGGCCCTCCCCCGGCCCTGATGCCTCGCCTCCCTGGCCCTACCACACTCCCCCCCCGGCCCTGATGCCTCGCCTCCCTGGCCCTCCCCCCGGGCCCTGATGCCTCGCCTCCCTGGCCCTCCCCCCCCGGCCCTGATGCCTCGCCTCCCTGGCTCTCCCCCGGCCCTGATGCCTCGCCTCCCTGGCCCCCCCCGGCCCTGATGCCTCGCCTCCCTGGCCCTCCCCCGGCCCTGATGCCTCGCCTCCCTGGCCCTCCCCCCCCCGGCCCTGATGCCTCGCCTCCCTGGCCCTCCCCCGGCCCTGATGCCTCGCCTCCCTGGCCCTCCACCCCCCGGCCCTAATGCCTCGCCTCCCTGGCCCTCCCCCGGCCCTGATGCCTCGCCTCCCTGGTCCTCCCCAGGCCCTGATGCCTCGCCTCCCTGGCCCTCCCCCGGCCCTGATGCCTCGCCTCCCTGGCCCTCCCCCCCCCCCCCCGGCCCTGATGCCTCGCCTCCCTGGCCCTCCCCCGGCCCTGATGCCTCGCCTCCCTGGCCCTCCCCAGGCCCTGATGCCTCGCCTCCCTGGCCCTCCCCCGGCCCTGATGCCTCGCCTCCCTGGCCCTCCCCCCCCCGGCCCTGATGCCTCGCCTCCCTGGCCCTCCCCCGGCCCTGATGCCTCGCCTCCCTGGCCCTCCCCAGGCCCTGATGCCTCGCCTCCCTGGCCCTCCCCCGGCCCTGATGCCTCGCCTCCCTGGCCCTCCCCCGGCCCTGATGCCTCGCCTCCCTGGCCCTCCCCCGGCCCTGATGCCTCGCCTCCCTGGCCCTCCCCCGGCCCTGATGCCTCGCCTCCCTGGCCCTCCCCCGGCACTGATGCCTCGCCTCCCTGGCCCCCCCCCGGCCCTGATGCCTCGCCTCCCTGGCCCTCCCCCGGCCCTGATGCCTCGCCTCCCTGGCCCTCCCCCGGCCCTGATGCCTCGCCTCCCTGGCCCTCCCCCGGCCCTGATGCCTCGCCTCCCTGGCCTTGCTACAGTTCCCCCCCCCCCCCCGGCCCTGATGCCTCGCCTCCCTGGCCCTACCGCAGTCCTGCCCCCCGGCCCTGATGCCTCACCTCCCTGGCCCTGCCCCCCCGGCCCTGATGCCTCACCTCCCTGGCCCTGCCACACTCCCCCCCCCGGCCCTGATGCCTCACCTCCCTGGCCCTGCCACACTCCCCCCCCCCCGACCCTGATGCCTCACCTCCCTGGCCCTGCCACACTCCCCCCCCCCGGCCCTGATGCCTCACCTCCCAGGCCCTGCCACACTCCCCCCCCCCGGCCCTGATGCCTCACCTCCCTGGCCCTGCCACACTCCCCCCCCCCGGCCCTGATGCCTCACCTGCCTGGCCCTGCCACACTCCCCCCCCCGGCCCTGATGCCTCACCTCCCTGGCCCTGCCACAGTCCTGCCCCCCCCCCCGGCCCTGATGCCTCACCTCCCTGGCCCTGCCACAGTCCTGCCCCCCCCGGCCCTGATGCCTCACCTCCCTGGCCCTGCCACACTCCCCCCCCCGACCCTGATGCCTCACCTCCCTGGCCCTGCCACAGTTCTGCCCCCGGCCCTGATGCCTCGCCTCCCTGGCCCTACCACACTCCCCCCCCGGCCCTGATGCCTCACCTCCCTGGCCTTGCCACACTCCCCCCCCCCGACCCTGATGCCTCACCTCCCTGGCCCTGCACCCCCCGGCCCTGATGCCTCACCTCCCTGGCCCTGCCCCCCCCGGCCCTGATGCCTCACCTCCCTGGCCCTGCCACAGTCCTGCCCCCCCCGGCCCTGATGCCTCACCTCCCTGGCCCTGCCACACTCCCCCCCCCGGCCCTGATGCCTCACCTCCCTGGCCCTGCCACAGTCCTGCCCCCCCCGGCCCTGATGCCTCACCTCCCTGGCCCTGCCACCTTCCCCCCCCGGCCCTGATGCCTCACCTCCCTGGCCCTACCACACTCCCCCCCCCCGGCCCTGATGCCTCACCTCCCTGGCCCTGCCACACTCCCCCCCCCCCCCGGCCCTGATGCCTCACCTCCCTGGCCCTGCCACAGTCCTGCCCCCCCCCCGGCCCTGATGCCTCGCCTCCCTGGCCCTGCCCCCCCCCGGCCCTGATGCCTCACCTCCCTGGCCCTGCCACACTCCCCCCCCCCGGCCCTGATGCCTCACCTCCCTGGCCCTGCCACACTCCCCCCCCCGGTCCTGATGCCATCATTCACTATTCACAAACATCAACAGAGATGACGGGTTTATACTTTCAGGTATACTCAAGTATACTCAGGTATACCTGTTTACCTCAGTAGACAATGATCCATAAACAACATACCGATTAATAGAACTGAGGTGAAGGTGAGACGAATAACAGAGTATCCCCTTCGTTCTTGACGTGTTCTTCACATACAATTTATTCTTTACAAAATGTTATATATATACCTATCACAAATCTTACAAATTATTAATCTATTTAATTTATATCTTGGTGGAGTTACATTAATATTATCTAATTCACTATTTTTTATATAAATGAGGAATCTTTCAGTAACTGTTCTACAGTCCACAGTTTTGCATGAATTTGTTCACTCAAATGAAAGATTATAACAAACAGTTAGTGAACAAAGTGAACAAGTGAACAAATGAACGAAGTGTGTGTGTAAGTGAACAAACAATAAATTGTAATCTCACGGTTGGTCGAGTGGATAAAGTACCAGATACGCCAAGGTGCATAGTGCTCCCGGCTGTCTGGGTTCGAATCCTTCTGGGGTGTGGAATTTTCAGTTGCATATTGGCTTGGGGGACCATTCAAACTTGTTCGGATATATATATATTATTTAGTAAAGCTGGCGCGTTAATTTGGGTGATGGTGGTGAGGACAGGCGGCGACTCCAACATCCGTCCACACCACCTCCTTCATCCGTCTCTGTCCGGATGACAGCCGTAATGATGGTGTATTTCCCGCCCTGGTGGCCATACATGGCGCGCTTCACGCCCCTCGCTTGTCTTATCTCCCGGCCGGCCAGGGCGCGGTATGTCACCGCGCCGTCCTCGGGGCTCTGGCGGCGCCCACCAGGAGTCATCCAGCTTGGAAACGTCACAACCCGAGGTTATTATTGTTATAAACAACCTCGTACAGTGCTTCTGAACTCATAAACTGTTGAATATATGTAAACCAAGCCGCCATGATTGAGGAAAGATGTACAGGTTTCGTAAATGGACAGGTTTATCGTCTTCTATGCCACTGGAGTGTCCTCTTGGTCTACTGAGGTGGTGAATAGTCTTGCCAGTGGTGGTCTGATGACCTACCCGGCCACTCTCACCACCTATGGCAGAGGTGATCAGGTCCTCCTGATTGTCTTCTCCAGCTTCATATCATAGTGTGTGTGTACTCACATATTTGTAGCTGCGGGATGGAGCTTTAGCTCTTGGATCCCGCTTTTCTAGCTGTTGGTTGTCTAATGCAATGACTCCTGACTTATTTCCCTATCATACCTGCTTTTAAAGTTATGAATGAAGTTAGCCTCTACAACCTGCTCCTTTAGGTCATTCCATTGACTCACTTCCCGCACGCTAAAATAAAACTTTCTAACATTTCTATGACACCTTTGAGTCTCACGTTTCCATACGTGCTCCCTTGTTCTGTTGATATTCATTGTAAACATTTCTTCTGTTTCCACCTTGTCAATCCCTCTAAGTATTTTATACGTCTGAATCAGGTCCCCCTTCTCCCTCCTTCTTTCTAACGTTATCAGGTTTAGTTCCTTCAGTCTGTCTTCGTACCTCATCCCTCGCAGCTCTGGGACAAGTCTCGTTGCAAACTTCTGGACTTTTCGAGCTTCCTAATCTGTTTTTTTTAAAATTGGGGCTCCACGGTGGGTCGGCATACTCTAAGACTGTCGCCTCACATAGGCGGTATACAGTGATCTAAAAGCCTCCTTACTCAAGTTTCTGAAGTATGTTCTGACTTTTGCCAGAGTAGAGTATGCGGCTGACGTTATTCTGTTTATATGAGCCTCTGAAAATTATACAATATAATTTTCACAGCTTCTTTCTGCCAATATTCTATGTTTATATAGTCATTCCTGGCACTTTTGATTGTTGCCGCCGGAGGCGACTAGTTTATTGTGCACCCCATACTCATCCTGTGAGCGGTAGCGCAAAAAGCATTACAGAGGGCACAAAAGGTCTTTATCAGACCTCATCTTAGATTATTACATAAACAGTTTCATCTATCCTTCACACCTTATAGTTACAATGTCAGCTAGATACAGAGAAAGTTCTATTACAAGAGCTATATATTTACAGTAAGTCATTATACATTAATGGTAGATCTTATCGCTAATACATAATAGTTTGACCAAAGGAGATATTGCAGAGTCATAGGGGAGCTTCTGTTTATTATTAGTCCTCACAATACACTACTTGTTTCTTAATCTCATATGTCGTTCATCTACTGGAAGCGAAATATGGATACAGTGCAAGGATTTCAGGTAATTTATCCATGCTAATCAGATAGGTTGCCATATCACACAGCGTGAGGTGTTGCATGTATTCCGGTCTCTGTCCTTTGCCTACTGTATAATTTCCTCCACTCCCTCCTGCTTTCTGCTTTTGTTTCCTGGCACTAGTCAACCACGGGTTCACTAGTGCCAGGATATCTCCTCCTATCTTTAACCCTTAATGGTGGTATTATCTCTTCTGCCACTTGGCACCTCAGTTGAAGATCA